CAAAACATCTTTTCTACAATGGCCGACTTAAGTGCTGTAATATCGGTGCTGCCATGCAGCCCGACTAATAAAGGCAAGAAGAAGCTTTGAAGCTGTGCGGAAAATGCTAATCGACAATGAGCCTTCGTGGCTTTTTGATTGTCATCGTGCAACATTACTAATTAAAACAACGGCTGCGTTTGCAAATTGATTGGCGCCAAAAAACGGGCGCACTTTTCAGTTTAAATTATTTCTTTGGGTCTTTCGGCATATATTACATTCCACATAATTATGTAATTCCGCAAGCCATGCCACATACCATTCCACAAACTCATTCCTCCTTTTACCCGCACCGAATTCTGAGTTATCTTTAGTGTAGTAACGAAGCTTTTTGACAGACGGACCAGTCTCCTTCCAAGGTATTGTATAAAGATTTATAGAGTAACAACATATCTGTCATAAATCTTGTCAGTGAGTGTGTAATTGCCTAGTTTGCCAAGGTTTTGCTCTGGTTGCCTTCGACTGTTTATCAGTCCGGCAGTCGAGTCGACGTCTTCAATCGTTATTTTTCAATATTGAGCTCCTTGTTAGTTAATGGATCAGACTAAATGTGAAACTTTTTTTAAATTTGTACAAAAGGATCCTTAAGGCCGACTTAATTATTTAAGAAACAAGATAGCATTTGCTTCTAGAGAGGCGACGCTGTAAAAAATGTGTTCGTATCCGTCTTCCGTGGCGACCTTCACCTGAACTGAATACACTCAGTCATGCATAAAATTTGGAAGCAAACCCTTTGTAGACCAGTTCTAGACCAGAGATCGAAGAGGTTTAAACCATACAAAGATTCTGAAAATGATGAAACGAGAGCTTGTTAGATTCAAATTTTCATTCAGCCTGCATTCATTGGTAGAATTGTCGAGTGTATAAGTTAATTGTTAGAGCCGAATGTCTCAGCATGGGTCACGCGATCGGCTATTTCTGAAAATCGTTCATTGACAATTATTATATTGTTCTATATATCACTACTGGCAGCTCTGAGGAGTGATTTTTTGTGCGTGCAGTTATTCTGAACACGAAAAGCAGACTCGGGAAATCAGTGAATTCTTTCAACTCACTCTCGATCAACCAGCAGGAGGTGCTACGAAATCACGTACTAATGGAAATGATCGTAGGATACTGTCTGAGAAGCTTTTATAAATTTCCCAAAATATTATTTAGAGATTTATCTAATTTGTTTACGTCAGCCTGAAATTCGAATCAAATGTTGAGCCACAATGACGTTCTTGCCCGTTACAAACTTAATTCAGTTATGGTTCCGCTCGAGACAGCATTTTTGTCTATTCTAGTCATAGTTTTGCTAATTGATTTTCTCTAGTAGGTCTTATTGTAGGCGAGGTAGTTGATTGTTTTGCCTTGTCACTGGAAAATATCTGAACCACATTAATTTGAGTTTTTTTCTTCTTAAATTTAATTAGTTTGAGTGTTGGTCCTTATAATTTCCTCGATTTTGTCATTTAGGGTTGATTTCCACTGTCGCGTAATTTTTCCGTGCGAACGCACGTAAAGTTTACGTGCGTAAATGAAATAGAGGTAATGTATGAAAGGCCACGCGTAAACTAGCCTGCAATCATGCCCTCTCCTTTTATCTCTGTAATCTGTTTTCTGGAGGAGGGCATGATACATTTTTTTTACAGATCACATGCACAACAGCCATTTTTCTGATTGAATAGGAAACAATACGGATGATTTGCGCCGTTCCGATGGGCCGAAATGCCGCCATCAGGTTGTTGTTGTTGATTTCAGTTTGCATTTTGAATACACAAGCGAGTTTGTTATGAAATTTTTCTGGAATTTAAGAATGTCTTAATAGAAATTTCATCNCCCTTAGATAAGCGGGGGAGGGGGCGGTCACCAAAAAAAAATTTTTTTCGACCCTTCGGGGCTCAGTTTGGTCTAACTAAGGGGAGGGCCCGGGAACCTCCCCTGTATGGTGACCCACAACTGGCACGGCAAAACCAAAAGCCTCACAGCAAAACCAAAAACCTCACGGCAAAACCAAAAATTTCAAAGCAAAAACAAAATAGCTTTGTTTTTGCTGTGAGGTTTTCGGTTTTGCCGTGAGGTATTTTGTTTTTGCCGTGAGGTTTTTGGTTTTGCCGTGACAGTTGTAGGCCACCGTACCCCTGGATCTGCCACTGAAATTAAACGGGTTCACTTTTCAAATAATCAATTCTTGAATGGAATCTTGAACACGGTTTGACTGTAATCCTCGTTCAGAAACCTGAGTATTATTCTGAGCGATCTTCGCTTTCACAACACTTTTCAGTTCGTGAAATATGGTGCTTCAGCCTAACGTTTTTTTCACTGCTTTCAGCATAGTACGAAGTCAACGAGCTTTTACCAGTAAATTCTTTATTATTTGTAGCTGTTAAATAAAGGTGCGGCAGCTCCGGCTAGCAGTATCTAAAAATTTAAAAATTTTTTTTAGGAAGCGCCATCTGAACGTACTTAAACATTTTCTTTTCCCTAAAATTGATTTCGAAAGAGACATTATTCCCGCCAAAATTTGATTCCCGTCTGGTAAACGCTGATTGGCTAATAACATGACAGATCAAGCAGACGTTAGATTATGTAAATTAGGGGACGATTGATGGCTTGTTAAATGAATGTACCAGGCGTTATTTTTTCACCTCTCGAGCCAAAGAAGCAAAAAATCTCAGGTTACGCGTAAACGAGAAAGGTTAGCGAGGTCCAACTTTTACGTTTACGCGTGACCTTCCGTACATTGTCTCTATTTCATTTACGCGCGTACGCACGTAAAAATTACGCGAGAGTGCATTCTGGTCCCCAGAGCCCATCGTTTCTTGGTCACGTGATCTTGTCGGTTATAAATTAAGCCGAGTGGCTCAGGGCACGAGAATGGCGACAGTGGAAATCAACCTTTTAGTGAGCACGCGACAAAAACCGCTAACAAGGAACACCTCAGGAATTCCAAAAAATAAGGCTCAATTTTTTACACCAGAATAGTTTTCACCGCATTCATGACGAGTCCGGAACATTCTGAACACGCATAGATACGTGAATTTGAAATAAGAGCATCCCGTTTCGTTCGCGTGTCCACAGATTTTGAATTCGGAATCTAAATGTCCGAACGAATATTCTCGAATTTACTGATGTACGTAAACTAGTGGCGGATCCAAACCTTCAGATAAGTGGGGAGTCCGGTCACTCCAAACCCTGAAATAAGCGGGGGCAGGGGGGACCGGTCTCAAAATTTTTCTTCGGCCCTTCTGGCCTCAGTTTGGTCTAAAAATAAGAGGGGGCGGGGTCCCCGGGTCCCTCCCCTAGATCCGCCGATGTGAACCCCTGTGGATCCGATTACCCTTAATGTAAAAAATTTGGAAACATTTATGAATCCGGAACTAATCTCATGCGGTGTAAACGTAGCCGAAGTCAAAACAGTTTTAGGAAACAAAAAGATCGTTAAAACGTTTTACAGATTAGGGTCAGTGTTTCTGCTTGTCTTTTTCAGTTTTGGATTGCCAGGTTATTCGGGGTGTTCCAGGCGTGTCCCTAAGTGTTCCGGGTTGTTCTTGTATTCCGGGATTTGAAACTTCTCATTGTTGTTACTGTTGTAATAAAAGATATGGCACGGATAAAAGCAAAAGCCCTAAACAAATGTTAAGACCTGTTTACATGGAGGTGGGAGACCCTAGGTAGGTGGGGTTACTGGGGTAACCATTTTATTCCTGTAATATCTCATTGTGGGCGACAAGAGGAGCCCGCTATCCTAATCTCCAGGTTGTTATTACGCATGCGTCGCATGTATGTAGCCAGCTTTCGTTTGGACTTCCACTAAGAATGAATGGAATACACAGAATGCACTTTGATCACGCTCGTTTGAACCTTCTATCACTCGTATTCTGATCTCGTGTGTTTTGGCCATCTGTCACGTTACACTTACGCAAAATACAGCGCTGGACAAAAAGCATTTTGACCATCGATCGTTGTCGCCCGCACTCTGTAACCTTTGGTTGTTACTAGCTTTAATTTGATCACGTTTACACGATAGGTGGAGTGGCCCGTCGAGGCGGGTTGCTCGGTCTGCCAGACCAGCCGGGGTCAAATTTTGCTATTTTTAAGGTGGGTTAGCCCGCCTAGCCGGGGTCAGATTCGTGTTTACATCAGAACAACTAATTGCCTTTAGCGGAAGCTTTGTAGACTTCGTATTGTTAAAAGTAACAATAGAGAGCCACAATGCTGAAAGCTTTAGCAAAAGCAACAAGCTTAAGTAAGACCCGACAGAAAAGCTTTAGGGCCCCAAAACACGTCCTTTGCCCGCCATTTTGTTTTGTTTACATTAATAGCGACCACCAGGCTAATAAGCTTGACAAACTGCACCCGGGATGGCAGGGTTGTAAGCGGATTACCTTGACCTGGGGTCCCCCCAGCTCCATGTAAACAGGCCCTTAACCACTTACGTAAAATCTGTTGAATAAATTCCACGACTATTCTCCAGTCAGGACATCCAAAGTGAAATTGTATAGCCTGTTTGGAAATAAAGACCTTGAAAACCATATTCTCTTTAGCAGCAAGCTAGTCCAAATGGCCAGATATTGAAGTGCTCATCACGTCTAGCCTACATAGTAACAGGCTAACAGATAAAGCAAGACTGAGATAAAACGCAAAGCTAACTTTTCAAAAGGCACTGCGTCTTTCTTCTTCAGGGTCTACATAATAATGATTCTGGTTAATTTAAAAGGAAGGATGGAGGGCAATATTTAATCACACTGATAATCTTGATAGTAACCTGATACTATAAAACAGAAATGTTAACTTTAAAATAAGAAAACAGAAAATTAGAAAAGTTATATTAAGAATTTTTTTTTAACAAAGAAACTTGTAACCGCTGGTCCTAACAAAATGAAAAGCTCAACAGGTACTACTTGCCTCATGATCATTATAGTTATATTTTTGACATAATAATTATATTTGTTTGCTATATTACATATCACTTAGAAATGGCAGACTTACAAGCCTCCCGTGCATCAATTACTGGCTCTTCGGGCAACAACAATAACAGAAATCCACCAGCGATCGATGTCAAAAATCTGCCAGCCAAGAGACTGTTTAAGACAAGAGATCTTCCCTCAAAGAGCATACCTTGGGACCAAGTTGAGCTCCCAGTTGATGCTTTGTTGCTGACTGTGAAGGAATGCGAATTGCTGAGTTGTGTTTCTTTTTTGAATCCGGGTTTCTATAAAAGTTATCACATCAAACTCGGACATGTGTATTTCGGGAAAATCGGTGAGGAGGGGAATGCAAGGAAAATTGCCCTAACAACATGTGAAATGGTTCCCAATGGTTCTACACTTACTGTGAAAAATACAGTTGAAAAAGTGAAGCCCAAAGCAGTATTTTGTGTTGGATACTGCGGTGGTTTGAACGCCAACAAAGTCCAACTAGGAGATGTGGTCATTTCATCAAAGTTGAGGACGTACGCCGACATCAAAATAACCCAAAATGAAATTCAATATCGAGGCATTGGTGTTCCTTTGAAGCAACACCTTGCAAAGCTCATTTTAAACGCCGATGCAGGCTGGAAGCCACCGTTGAAGGATGACGTTGATCTGGATGTGGATGTCATAAAAAATGGCGTGATTTTGAGTGGCCCAGAGGTGGTTGATAATGAAGAACGACGTAGGGAACTTACCAAGCAATTCCCTGATGCCACTGCTATAGAAATGGAGGGTGTCGGTGAGATAAATTACCCTTTTTGATTGAAGAAAAGGTCGAAAGAAAAATGATCCCTTGCCTACAAAGTTAAGCATATATAGCATTCTTTTTCCCTTGATAAGGGAACACCCCCGCACCACCACATGCACTCAGTCGAAGTTACGAAACTAAGCAAGTATAGAGTATAAAGAATTCTAGTTGCAGTTTTGACTTGTATAATGGAGTTAACTAATTAATACGTTTTATTGACTCCCTCAGATGATTGCTGTAGGGTGGTCTTGTTGTTCTTTTTTACAGAATTAAAACTTTCCTTGCAGGTCTCCATGCAGCCGCGCGCGACTTGGACATGGAATGGGTCGTTATTAAAGGAGTTTCTGACTTTGCTGATGGGAAGAAATCTGAAACAGACGCCTGGAGGCCATTTGCAAGTGTTATGGCCGCTTCTTTAACGGCTCACATCCTCAGTGATCCTATCGCTTTCGAACACGTGGCTCATTATGAAGGTAACTGCTACAACTCTCCCCACTCCAGAAGCTACAAGGGGAGTGGGTACTAGCTTATATGATTCCTACATAAGTTCAGTAACATCTGTAAACCTGAAGAAGGCTGGTATGGCCAGCCGAAACATCGCTATGTTTAAAAAACAATACACGTTGTTCTGAATCAGCTTTACAGTAGTCTTTGGACTTCTCGTTCTTGGTACTAGCTTTCGCCGCAACGATTCCTGGGAAGGTTTAACATTAACCATTAACCAATCATAACTAACGCTTGTCCACTCAAGCGATCCCAGAAATCATTGCGTTTAAAGCTGGTACCCAATCCCCTTGTAGTGGGGGATTATTCATTCGTTGATCATGTTTCATTAGGTGTCCTAATTACAATTTACAATTCTCTTGGTTAACCTGTGTTTGACTACTCGGTGACGCTGTTTGGGACAAATTAGATCAGGGACTTGCTACTAAACACCTGATATTGCAAAAACGCGCTTCATGCGTAATAATATAACCTTCCAGTATTACGACGATGTGCGTTCAGCACAAATACGAAGGAAAGGTCTTGCCTTAAGGCGGTGAAAGCATTCTTAAAAACCTTGTACTAGTGTTTGATACAGTGAATCAAATGTACCTAGTAATGAAGAAGCCCTCGCGAGTAGACCAGTTAGTAGCCTTCTTACACTGTGTGTGAAAAAAAAACAACATAAAATACTCTTGTGATTCATGAGTATACTAATGAAAAACGTCCACAGATAATAGGAAATTGTAATCTTCTCCATGAACAGTCTATGTATGTTATTCGTCTTTTTTGCAGGTTCAGTGACAAAAGATGCTGAAACCCAGACAGAGATAACCATGAATGATAAATTGTTCCAACAGTCCGTTATTGCTACATCCCAGGGAGACAATCCAGACGGTAAGGCACTTCGATATGGCAGCTGCTAATAGACATTGAAAATAAATTTGACCACCTGATTAACTGAATTTCACAAATAGAATTCACTCCCACTGTCCACACTTTATCAATGAAACAGTCGCATGCCCAGACTTCTCAGCTAAAGCACGCGTTCCACTATCTACGTCTATGGGTAGTGCCTCACCACGGATGAAGTGTGGAGTTTTTTTATTTAGTAATGAAATGAATAAACATAGATGGTTTATAAAACTTCAGTTGAAATAAGCTCATCGCAATAGCCAACGTTCGACTATATCATTTAACATAGCTCAGTGCCTTTAGGTACAAAATTTTGCATTTTTTTCGTACGACTCTATTGTCTCCCAATCCCCAGAAGAGACTTGAGCACAAAGAAAGTCAAACCAAATGAAGAAAAATGACCAGAAAGCCTCAGCGTCATGTTAAAATTTTAATATGTCGAATGTGGACTATTTAAGTCGCCGAGACTGGGTGTTAGAGGGGTGGGAAAAAACTTTGTTGATTTCCATTGTTGTTTGTACTTGTTGCTGTTTCAACAGGGCAGTCATTGAAAAAAGGATTGAAAAGAGAGGCAGCAGAAGACATTGATCAGGTTGCCAAGCGACGCAAGTAGACTATAGACCCAGTAAGTTATGATTATCTTAGGCTATGCCCATAATCTCGTACCTAGGTCTTACCCTTTCTGCTGAATAGTAAGAGATGTTCGTAATGTGATGATGCGTACTCCGGGGAACAGTTCCTTCAAATTTCGTCTTCACCGCGTGCATATGTGCGCATAACGCACGGAACGACAAAGAGAGAATTTCATTGAGTTTATCACATGTCCTGCATTGGGAAAACAAACGATCTAAAAAGGTTTTTTAAACATGATTTAATTTTTATCAGCTAACCAAAAGGCCTTTTTTCGAGGGGCAGCTGTTGGTCGTTTGGGAGACAAAAAAAAAAAGAAACAAAGTCAGCAGGAATGACTCCGCATTTTTGTTTTTATTTCACCATCTTGTTGGTAGCCCTCTCTCCTCCCCTGAGAGGCCTCTTTGTGTCGTAGGGAGGCTGTGGAGAACGGAAAAGAAAACTGCTATTTTAAGTGGGATACCCAGGGGAGGGGGGAGAATCTGCGGAGGTGAGATTTGGTAATCCTTATCTACTCAGGCGTGGACCTGGCGCTTCGTCAGATCCAGTAAAGGGCAGATAATTCGCCATCCTGACGCCACATGACAGACATGCCTCGCTGATGAGTCCTACCTGAGGCGGAACCCAGGGGGCCGAACTAATGCCGAAGTCATTATCATCCCCATAAGCACGATTCTTTTAGCCTCCGAAGCAGGCGGAATGTTTGGTGTATTTTTCGTTCGTGTTTCGTGGTGTAACCATTCAAACGAGAAAACGATGAGGGAGGGGCAAGAGTTTGATACCTCTGTTTAGCTTTCGCGCTGCATTGTCACTTTCTTTACGAACTACAAACTGAGAATACACCAAAAAAACTGCCTCCTTCGCAGTCAACGATCCTCTTGGCCAGCGCCACGTGCGGTCATAATGTTTAGCTAGATAAGAGCTTTGCGCAGGCGTATTGAGAAAACTTAGCATTCACTGTCGCTTCATTTCTGCTGCTGACGCTAATTTTCTTTAAGTGGTATTTTATCGTTAAAGTTATTGACATTCTTTTCTTTACTCATCGACAGGACCCCACAGCATTTGCGTTATGTCGTGACCTCCACACAAAAGTAGTTGATAGAAATGGCGTCAAGCAGGAAGCAATTATTTTTTTAGTTCTTGATAAGTTGTGTTTTAGTTCTTATACGATTGAATAAAATAAGGCAGGCCCTAATTAAATCAAAAAATTGTTAATTTCTAAGAACCTACACTTTACAATCGATTTCAACTAAAAGCCTCGTTGCTATTGAAAACGTCAGGCAATAAAATTTCTCGTTCGCTCTTGGCTCACTGGAGAAAAATATTTTAAGCCGTTCAAAACTCAAGCACGCAGTCCCTGTTTCATAAAGTTAAAAATCTTGGATCATAAAAACCTTTTCAGCATCTTTGGTCACCGCCTTGCGGAACCTGTAACACAATTCAATTCATTCGTATGTTTGTTAATGTCGAGACTCTAAAAACATGTACATTGTTCAACAAACCAAGAAAGGTTCGGAGTACTTTTTTGAATTCACACATTGTGTTTCTGTGCTGTAGTTGATCACAAGTTGCAATTCCACGTTCTTCGAAGCCCTTTATGCTAATGAAGACTGAGCTTTAAATAATTTCGCCCCACAGTCGCTCGACTTTAAAACGAACTAATACAAAATACAAACAGATAGGACATTACGCCTTGGACCAGATCAAGCCAATACGCTGCAGGGTGTGTTAGGAGGGGGGTGTAGGGGGGGGGGGGGGGGGGCTTTTAAAGGTAAGACTGAGAAGGGGGGGCGGCTAGGGGCCGCAAACTTTGCCCCTGTTGAAGACAAAATCGTTCCACTTGTACCTACAGCACATTGATGAAAAGGAAGATGATATAAAAACAATCCCCCCCCCCCGTCCCCCTAAAAAAAAAAAAAAAAAAAAAAAAACACAACAGAGGGGACCAGAAGCGCGGGAACAAAAGAAACCGGGGGGGGGGGGGGGGGTGGGGGGGGGGGGGGGGGGGGGGGGGGGGGAGTGGGGTCTTTTAAAGGTAAGACTGAGAAGGGAGTGCTGCTAAGGGCCTCAAATCTTGACCCTGTTTAAGACAAAATCTTTCCATTTTGGTAACCTGCTTATGGCAAGAATAAGCCTTATTTTGGAACCTTCTTTTAACAGTTAGTCTAAATTATTACCATACGCAAAAACATTTTTCGACTGCAGAGGCGATTTCCACCAAAGGAGATTTAAATAATTTCGTTTTCTGATACTCAACGTCCCTCTTTAACTTCTGTCGTTAAAATGGCTCTTATTTCTAAAGCAGCGTAAAGCTTCCTCTTTGAAATTTTGAACCGGGACTTCAAAAAGTATTCGACTTTTAAAGACTTCCAACGAAAAGAAAAATACATACTAAGGACAACTTTAAATAGCTACTGGTAGGTTGTACATGTCTCATGACGTGAGTAAAATGGAATGTTCCAAATTTCACTGATTATTTAATTTGCATCGCAAGAACTGTCACAAAACTTGTGAACGATTCTTACACCAAGTGCTACGCGTTGTGAATTTCTTTATCGTGTATGTTTGACAAACCCTATGGTTCAGTCAAGAATATATTCCGTTACTGTGAAGGTCATTACACAAGCTCTGTTTGGCAATGCTATTTAATCAACATTTATTTAACATTTAACACTGTTTTAACCGATACCTAAATTGTTACCCATTCAATTTCAACTCTAGACTTCAGCGAAGGCCAATACAAAATATGCCGGAACGTTCCAATCTGGCAGTGCATGGGTTAGGGCCGATTTGATATCTTAGATATCTAGCTCCATGGTAAACTTCTTTCTTCGCTCTCCCAGCTTCAATGTCAATAACTGCCTGACGCACTGTGGCATATGCTTCTTCGTTCAAAGTGCACGCTTGTTTGGCATAGAAGAGGCTGATATCTTGGGATTCCCAGTTGAAGAAGAAGAAGTCGCCTTGAAAACGCTGGGCTTTGAAAAAGAAAGCCATGAAGGCCCCGGTTACTTGCCCACTTTTGTCGAGCTGGAACGGGATAATCTGAAAGTTACCATTCTTTCCGGAGGAACTTTTGGTTTCGAACAGTTTGCCCCCCTCTGTAGATTTCACAAGGCCTTACTGTTGAGGAAGAAACACTCGCAATTAGCACAGACACGTTTGCTCTGAGTACTTTGTTATGACTATTTGTTTATTCCAAGGACCCAATTACAATATGCGTAATGTTTTCTAGAACTTTCTATGACAAGATAAGAACTGGATAAACAGGTTTTTTGTCTTCGGGTTATATAAGCAGTTTCAACATACCAGCGTGCGCTCCTTTGTCGTGGATCGATCTGTAACGGAGTTCTGGGAGTTCTCTTAAGTTTCTGGTAGAAATTAAAGTTCAAGTTGTGTTTAAGAAACTTGTGGCTGTCACAGACGTTCAAGTTGAATCTTAACACT